GGGGAGGAGGGGCCGGGGAGGGGGCCATGGAGAACGGGGGGACGCGATGGGAGGAAGGACACAGTGGGGTCAGGGAGAAAGGGGGGACACAGTGGGGGTGAGTGGGGGGCAGGGATGTGGCCCCTGCAGCCACTTCCCCCCCAGCACCAGTTGCATCCTGGCTCCAGGAGGGACATTCCCAGTGTTTTCCAGCTCCAGCAGCATCACCCCCCCTGGGAGCCAGGCTGGGATCAGGGGAAGCACCAACCCCCAGTCATGCGATGGGTTTGGTTGGAGGGACCTTAAAGACCATCCAGTTCTACCCCCACCATGGGCAGGGACACCTCCCAGCAGCCCAGGTTGCTCCAAGCCCCATCCAACCTGCCCTTGGACACTTCCAGGGATGGGGCAGCCACAGCTTCCCTGGCCCAGGCTCTCCCCACCCTCCCAGACAAGAATTTCCTCCTCAGGTCCAACCTCCAGCTCCCTCTGCCAGTTTCAAGCCATCCCCCCTGGTCCCATCACTCCTGCCCTTGGCCCAAGTCCCTCCCCAGCTTTCCTGGAGCCCCTTCAGGCACTGGAAGCTGCTCCAAGGTCTCCCTGGAGCCTTCTCCTCTCCAGTTAAACATTCACAACTCTCCCAGCCTGGCTCCAGAGCTGCTCCACCCTTGGATCCCTTCTCCCTTCTCTGCACCCCCATCAGGCATTATTAACCTAGCATAGGCCTGGAGATTCCCCATGGACATCCCAGAGGGCATGACCCCAGCTCTTCCCAAACCCATCCCACATTCCCACTTACAGGAATGGGTGGGTTTCTCGTGCAGGGCCTTGGACTTGAAGGGCAGCTCGGTCTGGATGTAGGACTTGTGCTTCACCTCCCCGTGCGGCCCCAGTCGCTCCTCAGCCAGAGGTCGTTTGGTGCCCAAGGGCGCCAGGAATCCCCCCGGGGCCTTCCCGGCCAGTGGGGCCAGGGAAAGCTCCCGGTTCAAGGAGGAGCTGCTGGGATTGGGCTTCCCAGGCCTCCCCCCGAGCGGGGCCAGGGCCATTCCCTGGAGAATCTTCCCAGGGGACTTGAGCTCCGTCCCTTCCTCGCCGATGGCTTTGGGGGGTTCGATGGTGGCGGGATGAGGTTCTTTCTTGATGAGGCAGGGTTTGGATTTCTTCTTGAGGATCTCCCGGAGGGTGTCGATGGGGGAACCGTTGACCGACCACTCGGTCACCCCCATCTGGCGCAGGTGGGAGCGCGCGTGGCTGGAAAGGCCCTTCCGGTTCTCGAAGTATTCCCCGCAGAACTCGCAGCGGATGTCGCGCACCGGGTCAGCTCGGGAGGCTGAGGGGAGATGGGGGGAGTCATGGAGTCCTCAGGGTTGGCAGGGAGCTCTGGAGATCATCAGTCCAACCCCTGGAGAGCGCAGGATCCCCTAGAGCAGATCCCACAGGAACACAGCCAGGTGGGGCTGGA